GTCTTTGTAAAGAAAAAATAAAAATAAGGACATTGATTTCAGTGGAAAGACAAAAGTATTAGTCTGTAGGAAAAAAAATAAAAATAAAAAATCAAGTATTAATCAAATTAAGGTAGTAAATTAATCAATAGATTAGTAAATCCTTTGATAATAAAAATGTGAAATAAATTAAGTGAGAGCGTGGCCTCCTCTTATTGGAGGTTTCTCATGATATCTTGAGATACTTATTTGAAATGTGCCTATAATGCCTGAACGCTTGGCATTTTTTCATTGGATGCTTCTAATGACATATATTGCATTACATATTACTCAATAAACATGTACAATTAATTCTTGGTTGTTGGGCAACCGATCTTGTGGGACACAACCGGTTCCACTTAGCCAGTAAATTTTCTATTAGAAAGCAGTTTTGAAAAATTTTAATCACGAAACTGCCTTCACAGACTCATGCACTTGTATGTATTAGTCTCATTGTTATGGAGTGTATTAAAGTGTTAACACTATCCATCTTTAATTCCGTATCCAATCATCGGCTCTTAAAAATAAAATTAAAAATTACAATGGGATTGGATTTGTTTTGATACGAAAAATTTGTCAATCCACAATATTATATCTCACAATATTTTATTTTTATTTTGAATAATTATGTATAAATTATAATGAAATATTATTAGTTTTATCGTATGCTAATTTAGTAGGGTTAAAGAACGCAAGTCTTACATCCTAGAGGTCACAGAAAGCCTTACAGTGCCATTAAATTACAATCTAACGAACAAAAATATAAATCTATATTTTGCGGCTTGACGAAAAGAGACACGTGTTGAGAGCCAAAAGAAGGTGGGATTATTTGTGTAGGTGTTTGAAAAGACAAATTTCAAGAGAGGGATAACCGCCATCACCTTGCCCCTTCTTCTAACGGGGCCATAGCTGGATATATACCATTTGGTATAAACGTGGGTTCAGTTTTAACCTTGGTTAAAACCATCTCATCAGTCTTATCTTCTTCTCCTACTCCTACACCTACGTTTTAGGGTTTTACTTTTTAGTAGTAGCTTTTCAGATTTTTTAACTTTTTTTTTTTTTTTTTTTGAAAAGCCCATCAACTCACATTGATAATATGTACCACAGATTTTTTACTCAAGCTAATGAGGTAGTGGTTTTATATGCATGCATGTAGTTATTTACTTGTTATTCTGTATAATATATAATGGCTATTTGCATGTTGATTCAAATTATAAATAAATTATAGTATGTATTTATGTAATTGGTCGCTGGCTTCAAAGTTTTAAATTGTAACATAATAGCACACGTGTAAAGTGTTTATAAAGTATAAGCACATGACAAATGTCCAATATGGCTATTTTGTAATTTGTATTAGTCATGTCAAAACAAGAAAATATAACATCATGTTCCAATTTATTAAAAATCCAAACAATCACCAGAAACCAATATATATATATATATATATATATAAAGAGTGAGATGACTAGAAAAGCCACCACACAAGCTACGACACAAAAGCTGAGTTTGCCGAGACCCATAGCCACCACACCCAAGGCTAACCGATATATACAACATTTTCTGCATTGGTTAATATTAAAAATGTGCAAATTAAATTAAATTACCACAAATAAAAAGTTATTTTTGTAATAAAGATATATTAAAAGTCAATTAACGAGGATTTTCATTTAAATTTTTGTGGGAATTTATGGCGAGGGTTTATATGGAAGAAATTCTGTATTTTAGTGGTCAGTCATCATTAATGCAATTTATCCGAGACCTACAGACACCACATATAAGGATACAATTTGAATTGGGTAATCCGAACTCAGTCCAATTTTTCTTCAGTATGGACAATCATTTTTATAATTATAATTAGATTTAGATTGAAAAATCAATCCAATTAGTCCTTTTGTCATCCTTAAGTGTTCTTGAAGATGTCTTATAAGATATTAGGGTACCAATTTAACATTCTGGTCTATATAACTAACATGTTGAAAATGGAGAATTTCACAAGTTCAAGATATTAAGGATACTGATAGTCAAGGTACAACAATTTAGCATATAATGAAAGTGTATATTTTTGTTTCTTAGTTCTTACTAATCAACCACCCACGTCATTGTTGATGTTTGAACTTCTGACTTCTTTTTTAAGAATAGAGATTTGATACCTTTGGGCAATAATAAAAGTGTATGTTAATTTGGCTCTAAAGACAAAACTACGAGACTTTATAAAGAAAAAATAAAAATAAGGACATTGATTTCAGTGGAAATACAAAAGTATTAGTCTGTAGGAAAAAAAATAAAAATAAAAAATCAAGTATTAATCTAATTAAGGTGGTAAATTAATCAATAGATTAGTAAATCCTTTGATAATAAAAATGTGAAATAAATTAAGTGAGAGCGTGGCCTCCTCTTATTGGAGGTTTCTCATGATATCTTGAGATACTTATTTGAAATATGCCTATAATGCCTAAACGCTTGGCATTTTTTCATTGGATGCTTCTAATGACATATATTGCATTACATATTACTCAATAAACATGTACAATTAATTCTTGGTTGTTGGGCAACCGATCTTGTGGGACACAACCGGTTCCACTTAGCCAGTAAATTTTCTATTAGAAAGCAGTTTTGAAAAATTTTAATCAGGAAACTGCCTTCACACACTCATGCACTTGTATGTATTAGTCTCATTGTTATGGAGTGTATTAAAGTGTTAACACGATCCATCTTTAATTCCGCATCTAATCATCGGCTCTTAAAAATAAAATTAAAAATTACAATGGGATTGGATTTGTTTTGACACGAAAAATTTGTCAATCCACAATATTATATCTCACAATATTTTATTTTTATTTTGAATAATTATGCATAAATTATAATGAAATATTATTAGTTTTATCGTATGCTAATTTAGTAGGGTGAAAGAACGCAAGTCTTACATCTTAGAGGTCACAGAAAGCCTTACAGTGCCATTAAATTGCAATCTAACTGAACATAAATGTAAAATCTATATTTTGCGGATTGACGAAAATGCTTGGTTTACTACTACGTACATGTGAGTTCTTGCCTTATTATTATTATTTGATAGATTTAGGGTTGAGATTGTTGTGGACTTTCAATTTATAATAAGGAGTATAATTGTTAGATTAGTGAAGCGAATTATAATTATTGTAGAATTTGACTACAGATATTATTTACTTTTATTTATTGTACAAAAACTTGTTTCCTAATTGAATCACCAATTCAGATAGGGGACAAAATAAGTTTGAAGTAAAGCAACTTTGATACAGCATGGTGCATGTAGTGGAGAAGCAATGAATTGTACAAAAGTGGATGGGTCAAAAAAAGAAATATTCTGTATTACAGTATTAATTTTGAATGGTAAATGTTTTAATTAGTTTTAATTGTGAGGGTGCAGTGCACGTAAATGGGGTGGAGTGGAGTGGAGTGTGGATGGGAGTTATATGTGTGTGCATATATATATATATATACATATGTATATATATATATACATATGCAGTGCACGTGAGTGGAGTGGAGTGGAGTGTGGATAGGAGTTATATGTGTGTGCATATATATATATATATATATATATATATATATATAATATACTCTGTATGTACATGTGTAAGGATAATACTTAGTGACTCACTAGTAAGTAGTTTCACCCTACTCACCCCTTGTATGTTCCAATAAAAATATAGCACATCAGCTTTAATAACAAAATAACCCACGTCCTCCTATATTTTCTCGGTTCAACCATTAAATAAAAGTGAATAATTTTGTTTTTAAAGCTGATGTGGCAAATTCTTATTGGAACACATAAGGAGTGAGTAGGGTGAAGCTACTCACCAGTGAGTTGCTAAGTAGTAATATACAGTAACACTATATGGTAATATATAGTAACTCAGATGAAAATATATATATATATATATATATATATAGTAACCCTGGTTAATTTCTGTGCCACTCATTGTTCCTATCTGCTGCATCTCGTACTTTCTAAGCTTTTGACAAGCTTTTCATATTTCGGAGAGAGAGAGAAATAGAGAGAATGAGAGAGAAAACCATGGCCAAGCTTAGAGCAACCCAACGCATCACCAAAGTGTACAATATGTGAGCATGTGTGGAATGAGAGGCTCTACTATGCGCCATTACACATTAATGGGGTCCATCTCATATTACACACTCCACTCTTCACATATAAAGAATGAAGTAGCGCCTGAGAAGTGAGCAGGCAGCGCAGTGGGCCATTGTGTGTGAATGAGTGATATAAAATAAAAAAATGATATTGTGTGATGGTGTGTAAAATAATTATTATATGTGTGTTGGGTTAATTAATTAATGTAAAGATAATTAAATTTTTATTAATTAAAAAAATTATTTTTCCTAAATAAATAAAAAGAGTCATTTAATTTGCATAATAATTTAATTAATTATATTTTTTTAAAAAAAGTTTGTACACTTTAACTAATCAATTTTATTTATTTATTACATAATAATTTAATTAATTTGCATAATAATATAAAAAATAAAATTTTATTCGATTAATAAATTTAAACATCTTCATCACGTACTGATTTAATTAATTCGCATAATAATATAAAAATTACATTTTATTCGATTATACCAAATTTAAACATTTTCATTGCCAAATTGATTCCACAAATGGTCCATCAGATGTCTCCTAAGATCAGCATTATCCGCTCTATTACGAATTCTTCTAAAATGACCGGAAATGTGTGCCGCCAACATTGTTGGGTTTCGAATGTATTGTGGGAGGGATTTGGCTCATCCGGCGGAGGTGTCAATTGCAAAATGATGCGTGTTCTCATTATCTTGTTTAAATCTTCTTTATCTCAATAATACACAGGTCCTTGCGTTATAGCCCACCTGATTTGCAATACGCCAAACGCTCATTCAACATCTTTCCTAACAACTTCTTTTTTTTTAGCAAACAATTTCTCTTTGACAGTTGTTGGGTGTGGGATGGTCTAAATTAATGTTGCCCACTTGGGATAAATACTATCAGATAGGTAATACCCTATTGTATGTCGATACCCATTTACCTCGTAATTAATCGGAGGCATTGTGCCATTGATCATACTATTGAATACTGGGGAATGATCCAAGACATTCACATCATTGTTTGAACCAGCCATACCAAATAAAGCATGCCAGATCCACAGATTTTTCGATGCAAGCGCCTTCAATATGAGGGTAGGCTTATGATTTCTTCCCTCGTGTGTGCCATGCCACCGTATAGGGCAGTTCTTCCATACCCAATGCATACAATCTATAGAGCCAAGCATACCTGGGAAGCCTCTTTCTTCCTCTTCTCGAAGTAAGCGTGCAATGTCCTCTTTGTTCGGTGTGCGTTGGTATTGCCCTGCATACACTGCAATTACAGTATCACAAAAGCGCTTCAAGCTTTCAACCGCAGTGGTTTCAGAAATCTTTATGTACTCATCACAAAGATCTGCTGAAATTCCATATGCGAGTATATGTATTGCAGCTCTCATCTTTTGTACAGGAGCATCAGGCTTCTGAATGAACCATTCGTCATATGCTGTAATACCGTTTAAAATGTGAATAAACAACTTTCGGCGCATCCGAAATCGTCTACGAAACATCTCGGGTGGAAAAATGGGATTTTCAGCAAAATAATCTTGGAATAGTCGCTGGGCTGCTTCCTCTCGATCACGCTTAATATATCTTCTCTTATGACGTCGAAAGAATGTCTTTACCCTCTCAGGCGATAACAGTTGCATCACTGCATTCATCCTTTTTTGATGTTCTTCAAAAAAATCTTCCCCGTCAGAAGATGAAAAGGAACTCAATGGAAAAATTGACCTGAACACTGGAATAGATTGTGATGATGAAGCCATTTTTTTTCCTATAATAAAGATAAAGACTCAACGGATGAATTCGAAGATGTAAAGAAGTGAACTTGGTAATTGAAAAAATGAGAGAATGAGTGGTTTATATAGCCATTGAGAATATAGTTATTAAAGAAAAAACAAACAGAATATATCCATTAGCAAAAAGACAAACATAATATAGCTGTTAGAATAAGATAAACATAATATTACCATTGGGAATATAGTCGTAAGGAAAAAGACAAAATGAAATTATGGCGCGTTATGCAAAAAGGGGCAATTAATTGTAATGTTTACTATTTTTTTTTTCTTGAGTTGTATTATTTTATTTTATTTGTAGAAAGCTATGTAATGCACTTATTTTATTTTATTATATATATATATATATATATATATATATATATATATATATATATATATATATATTTCAAATCTTGTATCTAAATCGGAGCAAACAATTATAGCCGTTAGTATTATAGTTGTTGAGAATTAAACTGTTGAAAAAAAAAAACAATAAAAAAATTTATTTTATTATTTAAAAAATAATAATATAATAAAGTGTACAATGAAAAAATGAGTGTATGACAAAAACTTGGAGCCTTCAAATAAGTGTACAATCAATTGCTGACGTGGCTGTACACTTTACATAAAATTGATGATGTGGCTATACACTTATATTAAGTGTGGAATGAAAAACAACCCCTAGGGTTGCTCTCAAGTCTCGCCCCCGCAGAGCCGGAATACAGAAATCCGATGGCTCTACTTCGTCCAATGGAGTCAAAAACAGCAGCGAGGGTTTTATTTCTTTGAGGATTGGAGGTTGGGGACCTGATCGTGTTTGGACAGATGAAGGAAAGAGAAGATCCATGGTGGCTCTTACTGCCACAGCTTGCCTAATTGAACTGTACCTCACATTTTCACATTCAAAGTTATACGGTGAGAATCTATATGTATACGGACTAGATAGCTATTACATGAATTGATTAAGATATATTTGTTCCTTGAGTCTATTACTATCGTTGTCACGTTATGAAATGAGAAATGATTGTGTATTAAAAATTTTAAACCAAACATGAGCGGAAGAGTCCCCATTCACAAGATGTGAAATGAGAGGTTTTGTCTTGGTTCATATAAAATTAGAGTCAAAGATAAGGATCGAATAAATGGTATTCAACAAAATTCGATAACGTTTACTTACAAGATAAATTCCATTATCATCAATTTAAGGAAAAAGAGTGGTGCTCTTTAAAGCCGATTCGGCTTGATCCTACTACTCATAACTCTATGGAGCCCATGACTGATGGACACAATGGTGGATACCACCTGGCATTTGTTCGAGTATTATTTTCACAAATAAAAAATAAAAAATATTCAACACTGGAAAGTTCATCATTTAATTTATTTTCTTTAATTGCAAAAATAGAGAACTACATAACGGAGACTGAAGAAGCAAAAACAAAAGGAAAATCAGCCTTTAAGTAATTTCATTGACAAAGGCAAATAGCCCCACTGTGCACATTCAATGGGCTGGGTCCTCTTCATTGGGGTTGTAAAAGTTTTGAATGGGCTTTCTCTTGCCTTTTTTTGTAGTCCATGGTTGGACTACCTTGTCCATTTAGGCCACCAGATAAATTCAATATATACACACACACACACATTGCTTCACTGTTCGAAAAGAAGCCAGATCTTATCCAATTAAACAAGGTACTGTTCATCTAACCATAACTGTGAGATCACACATAATATTATTTACTGATATCTTATAGTTGTGCATGAATGACTGAATTTGTAATTAGAATTGTTTCTTTCACCAAAAGTTTACGAATCCAGTAACTTGTATCTGTTTCTAGAGTTGTGCTACACCATTCAATTTCACAGTTAGAGTGGTGGTGACAATTTAATTGAATGGACCATCTAGTCATTTAACTTCTCTTTAATGGTTAGTCAAATATTGACTATCAATTTATTTCTAATGCAATTTTAGCGGACTAAAAGGGTTTAACCTTGAAGAAATTTAAAATATAAAAAGAATAACTTGTGTATTCAAATTAAACAATAAATAGCTTATGGAAAAAAAACATCTGAATCAACAGATATCCAACTCGAATTCAGTTTACACACTATATCTCTTTAATCTCTATTATTAGCTTTGAATTTGCATTACTTTATTGATTACAATTAAAGTATTTGGACACGTACAAAAAGTAGAAAGTATGGCACGCTTTTAGTTTTTGCAGGATGTCCATCAGATGCTCCTGCTACATGCCTGTGCCATTCCCCAAATACATGTCCTTTTCGGCCCTCCTTTCTTGTGACAGGTAAGACCACATTCTTGGTTGGCAAGCAAAACAAATAAATGCTAACATGACAGTACTTCTAATTAAGGTACAAATGGTATCACTCCGACCATGGGAAACCAACACTAAAGATATATTTTTTGTCTATGTGTATATATATATATATACCCATACCGTCACCATCATCACTTACACCGCCACTGCTAAGCGAGCGGGACTGGAGTCGACAGAAAGGAATATCAATTTCCTTTATTTTGGGTAATTTATATGAACCACTTTTATAATTTGTCATAATTATAGGGATCTCTTCTCTTTTAAAAATTTATATGGACATGTACAATTAAAGTATTTGGACACGTACAAAAAGTAGAAAAAATACGTAAAATTAATGGCACGCTTTCAGTTTTTGTAGGATATCCATCAGATGCTCCTGCTATATGTCTGTGCCATTCCCCAAATACATGTCCTTCCCGGCCCTCATTTCTTGTGACAGGTAAGACCACATTCTTGGTTGGCAAGCAAAGCAAATAAATGCAAATATGGCAGTACTTCTAATTAACCTACAAATGGTATCACTTGGGAAACCAACACTAAAGATATATTTTGTGTGTATGTATATATATATATACCCATACCGTTACCATCATCACTTACACCGCCACTGCTAAGCTAGCGGGATTGGAGCCGACAGAAAGAAATATCAAATTTCCTTTATTTTGGGTAATTTATACGAACCTCTCTTATAATTTGTCATAATTATAGGGATCTCTTATTTTTTAAAAATTTATACAGAAACGTACAATTAAAGTATTTGGACACGTACAAAAAGTAGAAAAAGTACGTAGAATTAATGGCACGCTTTCAGTTTTTGCAGGATATCCATTAGATGCTCCTGCTACATCTCTGTCCCATTCCCCAAATACATGTCCTTCTCGGCCCTCCTTTCTTGTGACAGGTATGACAACATTCTTGGTTGGCAAGCACATCAAATAAATGCTAACATGGCAGTACTTCTAATTAAGCTACAAATGGTATCACTCCGACCATGGGAAACCAACACTAAAGATATATTTTGTGTGTATGTATATAGATATATACCCATACCGTCGCCATCATCATTTACACCGCCATTACTAAGCGAGCGGGATTGGAGTCGACAGAAAGGAATAACAATTTCTTTATTTTGGGTAATTTATACGAACCTCTCTTATAATTTGTTATAATTATAGGGATCTCTACTCTTTTAAAAATTTATACGGACACGTACAATTAAAGTATTTGAACACGTACAAAAAGTAGAAAAAGTACGTAGAATTAATGGCACGCTTTCAGTTTTTGCAGGATATCCATCAGATGCCCCTGCTACATCTTTGTCCCATTCCCCAAATACATGTCCTTCTCGGACTTCCTTTCTTGTGACAGGTAAGACCACATTCTTGGTTGGCAAGCAAAGCAAATAAATGCTAACATGGCAGTACTTCTAATCAAGCTACAAATGGTATCACTCCAACCATGGGAAACCAACACTAAAGATATATTTTGTGTGTATGTGTGTGTATATATATATATATACCTATACCGTCATCATCATCACTTACACCACCACTGCTAAGCGAGCGGGATTGGAGTCGACAGAAAAGAATATCAATTTCCTTTATTTTGGGTAATTTATATGAACCTCTCTTATAATTTGTCATGATTATAGGGATCTTTTCTCTTTTAAAAATTTATATGGACACGTACAATTATAGGATTTGGACACATACAAAAAGTAGAAAAAGTACGTAGAATTAATGGCACACTTTCAGTTTTTGCAGGATATCCATTAGATGTTCTTGCTACATCTCTGTCCCATTCCCCAAATACATGTCCTTCTCGGCCCTCCTTTCTTATGATAGGTAATACCACATTTTTGGTTGGCAAGCAAAGCAAATAAATGCTAACATGGCAGTACTTCTTATTAAGCTACAAATGGTATCACTCCGACCATGGGAAAGCAACACTAAAGATATATTTTGTGTGTATGTATATATATTTATATACCTATATCGTCACCAACATCACTTACACCGCCACTGCTAAGCGAGTGGGATTGGAGTCGACAGAAAGGATATCAATTTTCTTTATTTTGGGTAATTTATACGAACCTCTCTTATAATTTGTCATAATTATAGGGATCTCTTCTCTTTCAAAAATTTATACGGACACGTACAATTAAAGTATTTGAACACGTACAAAAAGTAGAAAAATACGTAGAATTAATGGCACGCTTTCAGTTTTTGCAGGATATCCATCAGATACTCATGCTACATGTCTGTGCCATTCCCCCAATACATGTCCTTCTCGGCCATCATTTCTTGTGACAAGTAAGACCACATTCTTGGTTGGCAAGCAAAGCAAATAAATGCTAACATGGCAGTAATTAAGCTACAAATGGTATCACTCCGACCATGGAAAACCAACACTAAAGATATATTTTGTGTGTATATATATATATATATACCCATATCGTCACCATCATCACTTACACCGCCACTGCTAAGCGAGCGGGATTGGAGTCGATAGAAAGGAATATCAATTTCCTTTATTTTGGGTAATTTATACGAATCTCTCTTATAATTTGTCATAATTATAGGGATCTCTTCTCTTTTAAAAATTTATACGGACACATACAATTAAAGTATTTGGACACGTACAAAAAGTAAAAAAAGT